CATGCAAAATCCTTTTAAGGATTCCTTAAAGCCACAAATGGGTTGATAGAGTAGAAATCTGATCTTAAAACATAGCAATATGGGGCTGGTGAGATGGCTCAGTGGTCTAAAGCACCTACTTAGGACAAGCTTAGCAAAGCACAGGGACCACGGTTCAATCCCCCAGCACCACATGCTAGCCAGCCCTGCCCCCTGGTGGACTGAGCTGGCCACACACACACAAAAATAAATTTAAAAAATTTTAAAAATTAAAATTAAAATAAAATAAAATTACCATATGTGTAGGCACTTTTTTTTTTTTTTTTTTTTGAGACAGGGTCTCACTGTGTAGTTCAGACTGGCCTTGAGTTCACTATGTAGCCCAGGGTAGCTTCAAACTTGCAGTGATCCTCCTTGAACTCAGTCTTATCAGTTCTGGAATTACAGGTGTGCACCACCACATTCATCTGTGTAGGCAATTTATATCATGGTTTTTCATTTTATATTAGAACATAAGCATTATCCTATATTAGTTTTAAAAACTCTATAAACCTAACTTTGAAATTGTTGGATTTCCCCCATAGTTGAATGTTCTTTTCTTTCATTTTTTATTGTTAGGTATAAGGCCACTGTGACCTATAAAGATTTTTTTTCCTACAATTTGGATTATGTCCTCAGGAAAGAATTCTAGAAGTAGGGTTATTAAGTCAAAGGGATGAACATCTTAAAGATTGTTAATCGTTTCTGAAGAGATTTTTAGAGAAGTTCATCACACTGACCTTTCTGCTTTCTGTCCTAGCTAGGGAGGTAGTGCATTCTAGACAATGCAGATGCCGTATCTGTGCCATAGAGCTCACAGTTTTCATGCATAGAGACAGGGAGAGGGAGGGGGAAAAGGAGGAAGAGAGGAGAGGGGAGGGGAGAGGAGAGGAGAGGAGGGGAGGAGAAAAGTTTGCAGTTGAGGAAATCCAGTGAAGAGAAATTGATGTTTACCCAAGTCAGAGAGCTAACCTGGCCAGTCAGAAGAACTCAGAGCAACTAAAGTCTCAGAATGTTCTTTACCATCTTGGTGCCTTCCAACCATCTAAAAATGCTGATTACTGTGCCATCACTGATACTCAGGGAGTTTTTTGTTTTTGTTTTTGTTTTTGCCGGCTCAGCCCACCCTGGAAGCACAGCTGTGCAACATGTGGTATGGGGATCAAACTGCAGTCTCTGCTCTTGCCTAAGCTTGCATAAATAAGGGCTTTAGACCGCTGAACTATCCCGCCAGCCCCAGGGGTTCCTATTAACAGAGAAGTCTGATGGAAGGATAGGAACACAGCCTTCACTTAAATCATCACTTAATGATTTGAGGACTTAGGGGACAGCAGCCCAAGGGATCAGAATTCTCTCTGGTGAAAATGACTGCATTTAAAGTGTGGGTTCTTCTACCTCTGAAAATTTCCAAAGAAAATGTTTAGAATCATAAAATCTGAACTTGGAAACTGAAAAAAATCTTCAGAGGTCTTCTAGCCCAGCCTTTTCATTTCTCAGCCAGGGAAGGTCTAAGGAGTCCAGTACTGAAAGGCAAAGTTGTAGAGCTAAAGAGTTCCCTCTTCCTGTGTGAAGCCATGCACAGGGACCTTCTGGGTCATCCTTCCTTTCCCAGGGCTCTACCAAGTAAGGCGCCTTGCAGTCTGGTGCTCTCTGTTAGCAGATAGGAGTCAGTGCACTTGGGGAGTCTGGGATGGCTCTGGGTGGGCTGGGAACTTTGAGTTCTGTTTGGAACTTGAACAAACTGATATATTTGTGTCCATCTGCTCCCATCATCCCGACCCCAAAAAACCTGTCCAACTTAGGATCAATGTGGAATCTATGACTTCTGTAATTTCTAATGTGAAACCAGGAAACAAAGATGATGAAAAGATACACTTAAAATGGAAAAGTGAGTATGATATCATGGGTTTTGTTAGATAAAGTGAAATTTAAACTACTCCCCCACCCCAACCCAGGGCCTCATGTTTTCAAGATCAAGTAAGCTACACCTCCAGCTGCAACTGATATCTTTAAGTACACGGCCAAGATTTCACTCTGAAAACAAAAACAATGTCTTCTATAAGATTTTTCATTTTTTTAAACTTAAAAAAAAATCTTTTATTTATTTATTTGGTACTACAGGGTCTCGCTATGCAGCTCAGACTCGTAGTGATCCTCGTGTCTCAGCCTTCCCAGCACTGGAATTACAGCACAGTGCACCCAGGGTTTCTGGTCCAGCACAGTATGTGGTACCAAGCATCAAACCCGGGTCCTTGCACTTGTTAGGCAGATGCATAGACCACTGAGCTCTCTCCCCAGTCTGCTATTACTCATTTGTTCATTTTTTTTTTTTTTTTTTGAGACAGGATCTTACAGTTCAGAGCTTACTTTGCAGCCCAGGCTGGCCTCTAATTTGTGGCACTCCTCCTGCCTCTGCCTCCTGAGTGCTGAGATTATTGGGATGTACCACCAGATCAAACTGTACAAAATCTTTTTTTTTTTTTTTAAGTACTGTCACCTTAGGAAAAGTATGGAATGTTTGAAATGAAAACTCCGTCAGTGTACATATCTCTAAAGCATAGCCTAGTGATCTAGAAACCCTAGGCAAACTGAAATCCACTCTATTTCTATTAACTACTATTTCTGAGAATTTCAGATGTCCAATTTTTTTGTTAAATCATCAAGAGCATGCATCTGCAAGTTTTCTGCAGCCTCCTCCTGCAGTGCAGCAGCAAGGACTGTTTTGGGGGCTAACTGAAGCGCCTTTCCTGTTCTGCCATCAGTGCATCCCTCCTCCCTATCAAGCCAAACAGGGCAGGCTAAGGAAGATGCACTGTACAAAAGCAACTGTTGTTACAGTGTAAGCTAGAGAAGGATCATACATCTCTAGGATGGAAGCTTTGTTTCCAGTTTCACAGTGACACTTTCAAGGTTGTTTCTTCTTGTGTGCAGTGGAGGTAAAGGAAACAGCTGAGAAGGCAGCTAGTGGGGAGCTCCCAGTCCTTCCTTGGCATCCTCAGAGCAGTTTGACTTTGAAAAGTAGGGCTGTACATGGGTCCAGTCCCTTGTTGCAGCCCCTTGCTAGGGGCCCTGAAAACATGGATTGGCAGCAAAGTGTAGAGTTTCACAGAGAAAAGGAAGAGCCAGCAGGAAATGATGTCAAATTGGGGAAAGTGGACAACTGTGACCATGACATTGAGGAGCCTGGCAGACAGCCTGGACCACAAAGTTTTGCCGGTAAGTTCAGTTGGGGAAATTGGGTTGAGTAAACTCTACAAGATATCAGCTCTCAAAATATGTTAGCTTTCAAGCGTTATTTCCTTTACCTAATCTTCTCTCCTACATTTCTGGGAACTTGAATACCAAAGGAAAGCAGTATTCCCCTACATGCTGCCATGCTTCCTACAGGAATAGATATTCAGAGATTCATGAGTTTTTCTATAACTGAAACAAAATTTTTTCATCCAAAAGCAGTAAGATAAAGTTCATCTCCTAACCATAGTCCTGGGTCAAAATCAAATCTTTTTTTTTTTTTTACTTAATTTTTTAAATTTGTGTGTGTGTGTGTGTGTGTGTGGCCAGCTCAGCCCACCAAGGGGCAGGGCTGGCTGGCATGTGGTGTTGGGGGATTGAACTTGGTCCCTGTGCTTTGCTAAGCTTGTTCTAAGTAGGTGCTTTAGACCACTGAGCCATCTCACCAACCCCTCAAAATCAAGTCTTAATCTAAGGGTAGAGATGAGTTACCAGTTCCTCCTGCTTGTTTCTTTGTATTATATTCTAGGCTATAAATAAATCCATTGGCTCTATGACATTTACAACTGAAGACTGTGTATATCTATCTACTAATTTGTTGATGAAGGTAATGGGAGTATCATTGACCCCCAAAAAAGGACATCTATAGTTATCATTTATCTTAGGCAGAAAACCTGTTGCCCGGGGTGTTTTGTTTTGGCTTTGTATTTAAAATTTGAAGGGCTGACCAGATAGCTCAGCGGATTAAAGCACCTGCTTAGGCAGAGCACAGCAGCTGGGGTTCAATCCCTGGCCTGCCATGCTGGCCCTGCCCCTGGGGTGCACTGGACGGCGATTGAGATTGGGCATGGTGGCATGCGCCTGTAATCTCAGTGCTTGGGAGGCTGAAAACAGAAAAATCACTACAAGTCTGATCTGTGTAGTGAGACCCTGTAGACTATGTACTAAATACATTTAAAAAAATTGTGTTCCTCATCAAGTGTCACTTTTTTTTTTTTTTTTTTTTTTTTTTTTTAAAAAACCCCCTTTTGGCCGGGGGGGATTTTCCGAGGCAGGAGGGCCACCAGGCAAACCCCATGTCCTGAGTTAAATTCCTAGTGCCAAAAAAAAAAAAAAGCATCACTCTTGAGTGGGTGAAAAACAGGGTGGGCAGTCTAGGGCTACATTTTGGGCCCAAGCTAAACTAATAGTCTGTATTCTCTGCACTAAACCCAACATGAGATATGGCCACTCTTGGGAGAATGCATGTGTATCTCTCTTCTCATACTGCCTTTTGTCCCTTTCATACTATCCCAGTATGTTTGAATGTCTGTAACCCTGATTACATTATATTCATTAGGTATTGGGCATCTTTCATCCAGGAAAAATGAGCAGACAGAACCTAGTGAAGCCTTTCAAGCAAGTTCTGACATGTCTGTGACCATTGAGAAATCCTACAATGTAAGTAATATTGCTTGGTGAGCTAAGTTAATCCCAGTAATCTGATAAACTAAAATCAAGGTATTATGTATTATGATACCAATATAGTGTTTATTATAGTTTGATATACTATAGGGGACCTGGCCAAGATCACCAAAGGATGAAGTAAGAAGAACAAATTTAGTAATGCCACATGGGAGTCTAGGAAGTCAGTGCTTTAGAATGGGCAGGGACCAAGACACTTGAAGCCAAGCAATATTTATTGGGTGCATACAATGATAGGCGGATCAATGGAAGACTCAAAGGTTGATGACTAAACAGGGCAGAAGTGATCTAAGAAATATCTCACTTTGGAGTATTTTTTAATCTTAGTCATCTTAGTTTTAGTCTTAGTGGGAAAGGATAGCCCATTCCTAAAGAGTTACTGGAAAATTTCAAAAGGGTGATACAGATAATCTTCAGTCTCCATTTATCCCTTAGGGAAGTATGCAAAATTAGCCATTTTTAATATCCTTTTTGTTTTTATAATTATGGCAGTTGAAATAGCATACAAACTATGAGGGCCATCACAGCAACAAACATAGTCTTGGGAGTTTGTGAGCAGTCCTGTCACTAGGATGTGAGCCTCCAGCATTGTCTTCTTTAGTTATCATCATGTCACAGGTTTTATAGCCTATGTGGATCTCAGTATTTGTGTTGTCACACTTATCTCCAGGATCTTCCTTGAGAATACTTGCACTGGAGGGCTGGATGGGGAACAGGCTACACTATGGGGCTGGATTGTTCCTCTCTCCATAATCACACATTCTGGGAGGGCAGCCATAACAGTGTTCCATTATCTATTAATAGGAGCATACCCTCAACTTATGTTATTAACTGCCTTGGACCATCCGACTTTCCTGTTTAGATATCCTTCTATAGGATTTGAGTCCTAGGCATCCACATCAAATTTGTCCTTTTGCCAATAATGTTTTAATAGAAAGTGTTTACTTTCTGCAACCACGTTTTAGAAACTTACGGTAAAGATAGCAAGATCTAATAGTGCATGTGGAGATAATCACATTCTCCCTTTTAGTTTTTATAATTACACGACCAGCCACAGTTGTCTTCTGCACAAATCTTTCTAAGGCCCAGCCCTATCTGACTTAACCTACATCATTGCTAAATAACTTAGCTATAATACTTCCCCTCTGAAGAAGAATTCCCAGCTGTGGTTAGGGGAGAATGAGCATTGTTCTCATCTAGCTGCTTCAAGCTGAGAAGGGTCAGTGTACAAGTGACTACAGTCAGGGGCCTTCTCTAGAAAGTTAATCTAATGGGCCTCAGATAGTCGTCATGTTGTGGTTGATCTGGTGGGCCCCAATAAAAAGAGTCTAGCACATTGGTTGTTGGTTGCATCTCCATGATCACTTGGATTTTAGAAGCCTTTAGGCAGGAACAAACAAATTTTCTGAGAGCTGGGAAGATAGCCCAGTGGCATGAGTGCCTGCCTGGCAAGCATAAAGTCCTGAGTTTGATCCCTAGTACCAAAAAAAAAAAAAAAAAAATTCCTGAGAAATTAGAGCACATATAATCAAAGCATGAGCAATAAGAAAGTTGGGGGGAACGCCAAGTCTAGAGACTGCTCTCTAGGGACTGAATAGCAAATGTAATCAATGGTTATCTATAAATCTGTTATTTTGTCATGAGTTTCTCTCCAGTTTTATTTAATTTATTTTGTGGCCATCTCAGCCTGAGTTCAATCCCTGGCACTGGAAAAAAAAAAAAAAAAGGCATGGAAGACTTTTGCACTCTGGTGATCCTGCTTTGGCACACTGTTTGCTGTATTCCTGTGCCCTAGGGCCCAGCAGTCTCTTTGGTGAGGAGGGTTGTATGACTGACCAGAGTTGTAGGATGCTCCTAAAAGGGTTCCCTCATATCCTTGTTTTTAATTGACCTTGGAGAACCAGAGTCAAAATATGTACTATCCTCTCAACCCAGTTACCTTTTCCAGATTTGGTCTCCAAACCTCAGTTGTTGAACACACAGAAGAGATCAGTGACATTAGCATTGTAGTGGGAATAGTGAGCATAATTATAATTTTGTCTGAATATTAAGCATTTTAAAGTATAAATATAGCCAGAAATGTGTTATTTCTTACCAGCCATTGATGTTGTAGTTGAATCCCTATAGTATTGGCAGACAACAGTTAAATGGTTTTTCAGAGAAAAATTGAGATCAAAAGCCATACACCATATTTTAGCATAATAGGATGGCATTTTTATAACACACTTAAATCTCCATCTTGGTATAGAATAGCCTTTTTATTCATCTCTTACCTTGTATACAGGAAGTTCTCACCTAATTTGTTGTCCTTAAATATGTTAGTGAAGAAATTTGTGATATTATCTAAGCGCATCTCTAAGTATAGTGGCACATAGATAGTAAACACATCACATAAATCATTGTTTTAAAAAAAGTTATCATTTGACTGGTGACCTCATGTTGGCTTGACCTTAACCTCCCATCACAAATAGCTGGAGCACAAGAGAAAGGCAAATATCTAAATATAAAAGAAAAAGTTTACCACCATAGACAATCCCACCTTTACATTTTAAAGACTATATATCGAGAAGATATGAATACATTTACACCATGAGATTAACAATGATGAATTGTCAACTGGGCATAGTGGCACAGGCCTGTAATCCCAGCACTGGGAGGCTGAGGCAAGAGTATTTGTGAATTTGAGACCAGCCTAGGCTATAAAGTGAACTTAAGACAAGCCTAAGTCCCATAGCTGTCTCAAAAAGACAAATAAAAAAAAAAAAAAGAAAGAATTGTCATACCCATGTGAAAAATCTTTGTTTCTTAATTTAGTTTTGCACCAGCAGCATATTTTATGAGAAAACTTACTGTATTTTTTCTGGAAAACTTACCTTTGATGATGACTTATTTGGGAGTGTCGCCCATAAGGCTGTGGAGATCATTAGAGCCTCCCATTAATGAACAAAGGCTAGGATATGATTTTTACCAGGGAGCTGCTCCTTTATTCACCAAAAGGAAACCTGATTAATAATTCCCCAAGCCTGACACATCCCCATTTAGTTACCATTACAAATTTCTGATGACCTCTGAGAAAACCAGTTTTGAGATATTTTGACCACCTGGCAACCCAGATAGAAGCATGCTTTTTAAATCTATAAGCCATATTATTATTAGTATTATTTTTTAGAATTCAGTTCTTTATATAAAGTCCGTTGTAGAAACAAAACAGAATTAAAACCAAAAAAGGGAGAGGACAAAATTTTAAAAAGAAAGAAGTTAAGAGGACTCGTTGCTTCTCTGACTTCTCTTCAGGTTCCTCCCCAGGACCTTGTTCTCTTCCTTCACAGAGAAAGCTTTTAGCTTTCCAGCTACTTTTTGCCAATTATCATTTTTCCCAGTCCTTTCTTATCTCTTTCTTTAATTTATTTTCTGCATTCTTCAAACTTTGTTTTAAATTTTTGTGCATTCTCAGCATTTAGGAAGTGGATGGCAACCAGCTTCAGCTTGGGATACTCATCAGCAAAGTCAGTGTGGGTATTCCAGACCCAGGCACAGTCACTGTCAGCATTTGGCATTAGCTCCTTCATGGGTGTGATGTGGTGGGCACAACATTTTCAGGGTCTTTTCCCTCCTCATAGGGAGGCAGATGGTCCCCTTATCCTTATGCTTCAAGAGCCTGATATCAGCTGTGCTTCATTCCTTCCATTCTGAACTATCATTCTCTGAAGCAAATCAGAATAACTTTGCTCACATTTTTAGAAGTTTCTCCTCATCTTCCTCTAGCGTTTGTCTTGCTCAGGAAGAGAAACTGGTGGTTCAAACTGGGGGTCAAAGTTGGATTCATCTGCATTCTCAGTGGAGGTGTCATGGTCCTCATGAGTATTTTCTCGGTCGTTGCTGACTCTACAGCCTCCAGGTGGCTTCTCCTAGCTCCTTTCCTCTGCATCTGGCACCTGCACCTCCTGCCCACCCGCTTTTCCCTCCACACCGTGACCCGAACCCCAACCCCTGGCCCCTCTATAAGCCAAATTAAATTATAAAATGATCCAAAAATGCAAAAGGAAGACCTGACATTTTTGGTGCACATCTGTAATCCCAGTGCTGGGGAGGCTGAAAACAGGAGTATCATTACGAGTCTGAGCTGCGTAGTGAGACCCTGTACCAAATACATTTAAAAATAAAAATGCAAAAAGAAAAAAATTTGTTGAGTTCAAATAAAACAGCTGTTTACAAATAGGACAAAGACACAAGGCATTTTGTTTATAAAATCAGAGTGTATGCAAATATATTTGGCAAATTTGAATTATAACTTTTATGTTTTTAAGTTTATAAGTAGACTAGTCAGAACTCTTTTGGTAAGTGAATTGATGGATACCTCTTATACTATGAATCAGAGAGAATAAAACCTTTTATACCTGTGAAAGCAAAGACAGTTATCATGGGCTTTCTAGGCTAATGCTGTATCTGATTCGAATATCCACCTGTGCAGGCTGTTCATTACTGTTTTGATACCCACATGGAATTGTTCCCTCTAAGGAAACAGACTGTTAAAGGTAATTTTAAGTATGTCTAGGGGTTAAGCAGGCCCTCTCTCTTTCAGATAGTTTTGGCAATCAGATGGCAGGTTCTAATCCATTGAGATAATATTCTAGACATTATACAGCCCAATAACTTGTACCAGCATCGTCGACCTCTAGTATTCCTTATTTCTGCTCCCTTGACCTCCATAGGTGTACAGGCTATTTTACTTGGACCTCTACCTCATCTTTCTTTTATGCTTCAGCATGCACATTCACTTCTTCCTCCACTTGGCTGTCATAGTACAGAGGTTTTTAAGAAGATGGTGTTAAAACCAAGAGAGAAGAACAATACTTACAGACTGTGAATGTGATTCTTTGTTGAGGGCCAGCCAGATAGCTCAGCAGATTAAAGCGCCTGCAAGCAGGCACAGGGGCCGGGGTCCCCTGGCCTGCTGGGCCCCCTGGGGCGCACTG